ATATTATATTATAAACCTTATATACAACATCATAAATACACTTGTAACTGCTTCGAAGTTACATAAAACTTCTCTAGTTATAAAGCCATTTTATAATGGTTAGCAAAAAACAGAAGCTTCTGGGGGAGGAGGAGGAGTACCCTGATCTGCCCTCTGGATTGCCTCCTGTGAGGATTGAACTCACGACCCCTGGTTTACAAGACCAGTGCTCTGCCACTGAGCTAAAGAGGCGTCTGCTGCAGAGGCGCTTAAGTAGCGAACTTGTGCGAACAATTGGCTTGCCTCGAGTCGTGTTGTCGCCATATCTTGTATCTTGTATCTTGTATCTTTGCGGCTTGTATCTGGCGCGAGCACATGTTGACACAGTTGTCGCCTGCTGCTGATAACTGTGTTTTAGCTTGCAATATATGTATATAGATACATACATATATACATATACATAGTCGTGGCAAGGTCAGACAAAAAACCGGATATTAATTTTTCAAAAATTACACACACACACACCATTTCAAGCAATTATTATCTTAATAATCATCATCAYCATCAAGGCGCATCTGAGTCAAAGTTGGTATTGAAGTTGTGCCTCGGGCTGCGCTTCAGTGGCCCATGACAATTAGGGCCGTAGAAATTCGGCGTTCGGCAGGCTCTGCTCACCTGTTGGCAAGTGAAACCTGTAATGGAAGTCGAGATGCCGACGAAGTTGGATGTGCAGATGGAGCTACATCCATTAGGCTTCGAAATGAAAACGACATGCCCAATGAACAAATATTTTCACATCATCATTTTGATTACCGCAGGTTATTGTTGTTGTTGCTATTCTTCTTCTTCATCTTACGCGTGTGTGAGTGTGTGTGTGTGTGTGTTCGATTTCAGTTTCGAGGCAGCAGTGCGTGCAAAATGGATCAACGATCTCTGCGCGCTTCACTGACCCATCTTTCTTTCCGACCAAATGCTACGCCCCTGCGTCCCCTTGGCCAAATCCCATTGGCAAACGATTTCATTTGAAGCCTTCTTCGACATCTGATGCACACATTGTGGCCCTAGAGAATTTCACAAGGCGCCCTGAACGTCGCGGTGCGTCGCTTACCTGGCCTCTGCCCAAAAATAAAGGTAATTGCAATTAGGTGAGACAAACAACTGGCGCGTGCTGAGCGCGCACAGCCAGAGACCTTAAAACAATATACATATATACATGGAGAGATATTTATATATATGTATGTAAGTATATGTGTATAGCAGCTGTTTTACACATTCGAGGCGTTAACATCACACACTTTATCAAACCCATTCGAGTCAAAGAGGATCTACAAAGGAGTTCGGTGTAGGCAGCTCATGTCAGACATATGGCAGAGCAGAGTTTTTCCTTTGAAGAATTTCAAATGATTTGGATAAGAAAAGTGGCAAAAATAGACAAATGCTATAAATAATAAATAAATAATAATAGGTATTAAAATAATGTATATGTAAATATAAGATAGTATATATATAATTAAACTGGATTCAAAATCAGGCAACAAAATGTTGCTTAGATTTCATTAAATTCTAGAGCCATTCATAATGCTCTAGTTCTTATTAAAAAGAACATAAAATACAACTATATAACATGCTTATACATATATTTAATATTCTTAAGTGGAGAGAGTATGAGTGAAGAGTGCCGACTTAAGAACAAGTGGGGAGTGGAAAGAGCATAAGTGGGGAGTGCATGAGAGGAGCATGAAGTAAAATGTCCGCTCTTATAAATTTATAACAGATTCGTATGCCTTAAAGCTTTGTGCTCTGAGAAGCGCTGACAATACATATATTTACCATTTGCATACATACATATATGATATTTCAAATAGAGACTAAATATATTGGTTGTTGAACCCAATCATATTGAAGCTGATATAAATAGATATACAAGATAATTAGAACAATACTGCTGTTGATACTGATCAATATTCTAAGTACTGACGTTATGATGTATAATATTAGAAATAGGAATTCAAGAGTGTTATATCTTAAGAGGTATTTCGCTGGCATGGCTATATACAGTCGTTGTTTTGATCAAGAGTATAATACTTCATCTCCTTGAGTAGAGTAGAGACACGCGATCAGAGGATACATACAGCATATAGAGGAACGCGATCAGAAGATCTGTACATACAGGGTTTTTCATATTCGTCTGACCCAGCTGGCAACCCTTTATCTTTTGACAGAGACGTCAGATCAGTTAATGACATACCGCTTTGGAATCGTCAGTCTAGGCAAATTTTTACCAAGCCACGCGAGCGCTTCCAAATTGTTGAAATTTACATTCTACTTACTCTTTACTCTAAACCATATACAGATTAAGATTTTTTATATACCTTACAGCATGCGGATATAAATAATACAATATATTTGTTAAATTTAGCCTTCATATGTGGCTTGGTTTAAAAACTTACCCCAAATATTGGTTATCAAACACATCTGTTATTAGGTATTTCTGTGAAGTTTAAATTTTGTGTTTCTCAAATCGCATTAAAGCAAAACCGCAAAACGATTTCAGGGCGCTGAGTGAGTGCATTAATTCATAGCAAATCCCATTCGAATTTTATTAGCTGCATTTAGCAGCTTAATTTTTTTCTTCCTTTTTTCCGTTTTTTATTGATCGACCCCGAAATAGGTGAACAATGCGGGATTTGGGTGAGAAATTGCCTGATTTAGTGTAAAATTGGCAGCTAACGAAATGAGCTCCGAAATGCTGCTGACAGCCGGAGAGCCAGAAAAGCAGATAGTCCGATAGGCGTAGAGCGCATATTTCAACAACTGCATAAAAAAAGGACGAGAGAGACGGGAGGCTGCGAAGCTGCAATTCGTCACAGGCTGTCAGAGGAACGGGAACTCATCAATCTCCCAGCTCAGGTTGTAACTGTATTAGAGAGGGGCTCGACGGGCTGACGTAACGATTCACATGCTCATTGTGTTGCAGGCTTATGTCTCCGGCGTGCTATGCTACATGTCCTGCATGCTGCATCCTCTGCTGCGCACGCGTCACGCGCAGCGGCAGCGGCAGCGGCAGCAATTCGCTTGCAGCTGTCGCCGTTGACGCCGACGCCGACGCTGACGCCACTCGACATAAAATTGTAAGCCAATGTTGTTGTAATTGTAGTTGTTGTTGTTGTTGCTGCCTTTCAACCCCCTTCAATGTGTGCAGCGCACATTTGGAATTAGCTTTTGTTTTCCACTTGAATCGCTGCACTCTCGAGAGCGCATTTTCCATTGTTGCTTTTCCGTAAACATTCCGATTTTTTACTTGAGTTTTCACTCAGTTCTTTTTTATATATTTTTTAAATTTTTATCGAGGCTCTTCATTAATTTGAAAGCCAAAGAGTTTCATTAATGAAAACTCAATTATGCCCTTTGTGGGTTTCCTAAAATTTTTTCCGCTCCCGCTGACACTCAGAGTTCCCTATTTTCAGTCACTTTGCTCTGTTATCCCGTTGCGCTGCTTTCAATGTTATTTTTTTTATTTTTTTCTCGAAATTTTCAATCTAAACTGGGAAAACACATGTGGCGCTTCGAAGAGAATTCTAATGCCTGGAGGTATACTTAATTGCATGATTAGTAAAAACACACAAACAACTTCTGAAAATGTAGCGAAAGTTCAATTTTGTGTATTGAATCATAGAATTGACGATTTTATTATCAGTTGAGTGATATTCAAAGAACTTGTTAGGAACGTGAATGAAGCTGACGTAAAGCTTAGCAATGGAATGATGTAACAGTTGACTCTGCTGATGTTTCTATTCTTCCATCTTGAACGACCATCACAATAAGAGAGATTAACAGAGAAAGAACTTTTATAGATAATGAGTAAAGAGTAGTTATTATCTTATATATGCTGAGCAGTGGCGTAGTGAGGCGGTGTGTGTGTATTCCCATTTACTTTATCTACCTAAAACCTTAATTAGTCTTTCCAAAAATAGTCTGTCCAGCTATATCCATACATGGTATAGTGTTTTTTGTTTCCCATAAACTCAAAAGCTAGGCTTCTGAATTTTGGCAAATATATTTGATTCATTAAACTAGCTATTCCGCAGCTATTTAACAGCTAATCAACAGATAAATAGAACCATAAAATAAGAGCCATAAAATAAGAACTGTTATTCGGTAGTGGCTCTAGCATTTCAGCAGTTAAGTAGTGCCATAACAGAGCCATATAATAAGAGCTTTTAGGCAAATAAGAACTGTTCGCTCGAATGTATGCAACTGTAGAGCTAACACTTACTTTATATGTTGCGAATCAGACTATCCATCCATCTCTAAGATCTTACATATGTATATACTTTGGGATTCGTACAAATTTACATTAAATTTTCCACATTTCTATATAAATATATATGTCGGGGCGTTGCGTTTCTCGTTCATGTTTTCCATCTTAGCTGCGCGTACCAACGAATTCCCGGTGTGTCGCTAAACTCTTTTTAAATGCTCTTTCCCGTTCAATAATCTTTGACCAAGTATCTGATTTCTCCTCTTTTGCCGAAACCTCTAATAATGGTCGCATATTCTTATTTATCGAAAGCACAGCGACCCTGCTGCGAACGAAATAACTAGCCGTCTCGCTCTCACCCAGTGACAGCCGGGACCACGTTCAGCAACAGCTATTGTTGTCTCTCTCTTAGTGACAGTGCATCCTTTAATTGCACTACAATAATAAATCAATCGATTAACACGAATTACCAGTCTTTCTCAACACTGCAACTTCAACAACAGTCTAATATCGCACTGATACGATATATATAAGCCATGTTTCATATCGATTGTTTTTGGCTCTGAAATGAGCTGTTTACGAGATGTTTATATATGCTACTTGCCAATAAATGTTTTGACCTGAATGCATCCATTTTAGGTTTCTCTATTATGTTTTATAGTGGTTTACAATGGGTATATAATAACGTTATATATGTTAATAAACCATGATAAGCCGATAGAAAATGAATGGGCATACGCTTGTAAAATGTGGAGATAACATGGAGCAAGGCTATTGTCGGGTATAACCGATTACAAGCTACCGAAAATATCTACTTTTACTCTTATAATATAGGTATAGATAGATCTAGGGAGTTGACTGGTTTACGGCTCTCAGACTTTTTTTGATTGACAGTAGGTCATGATCTATCTATTCTTTTCATTTCGTCAAGCGACCCAAAAAGAGAGATTTTAGAACTATTTTGGTTTTAATAATAACAAAGGTTCAACAAATTTATCAGATTTTTTAATCTTAGGTTGATTGTATGCATAGTCATTGGAACCATGAATTAAACATTTGATTATTGATTGAGTTAGAACTGCTCATAAAAATCGTATAGAAACCCATTTATAGACAAGTGGACTAATCAGATCAGTCGTCATATACAACATATATGGATAGGTATTCAACAAATGTTATTCTACTATAATATATGAATAAACATTAGCTAATGATTATTAAGAACATACTTTAAACTGTTCTAGAAATATTTATTATGTATTTCTGTTGTATACAGAAAAACCATGATATAGAAAAAGGAATTAAAGATAATTGGGTATAATCATAATAGATCAAGCTCTCAAGCTAATAAATCATATGCAACAGCAGTTAGCTCAGCTTAAGCGGATCGAACTCGAATCCGAAATCGGCCTCAGGGCTGAGCCATTAAAATGGATTTCTCAGCTTAAGTCCATTGAGATGCAATTGAGTTGTTTTCGATTGTGTGTTGCGATGTCCATTCAATGTCAGCAAAGTGATTCGAATTGAATTTGAATAATGCGAACGTGTCTGTGTGTCAACAGAGATTTCAACTTGAACTCGAAATTTATTTAAATGATCGTTTTAAATTAATTAAGAAGCGCAATT